TATATATATATATATATATATATATATATATATATATATATATATATATATATATATATATATATATATATATATATATATGTGTGTGTGTGTGTGTGTGTGTTGGTTCATATATATATATATATATATATATATATATATATATGATTTTGCTATTGAAATAAGAAATATCTACAGGATTGATTGGTCCGATCACACGTGTACATATCGTTCCACTCTCTTCTCCAGAATCTTCCCGCCCTTTCTGGTGACCGAAAACTCTGGAAATTAGGAGGAAGCCGTCCTCGCTGGCCCACGTTATTAGCTCACCATCTCACCGGCCCCCAAATCTCCGATTGCATACCTGCGCGGAGAAGCCGAAGCGAGCAAGCGATTGTGACGAAAGCGTGTCGGAGTAGAAGCTGTCCAAGAAAGAGAAGCGGAGGACGATGGCGGAGGAGCAGCAGCTGAGGCTGGACTTGGATGAGCTGAGGCACCTCGAGAGCATCGCCAAGAGGCCCCGTGTCCTATCCCTCCTTTCCTCCGAGATCCGTGACCTGGACGCCAAGGTATCCTCACTTGCTCTTCCCTGTTCCATCCGTCGTCCGTTCCTTTCCGATTATTCCACTTTTGGTGTGGTTTCTTAGCACACCATTCCGATGTTGCATACTCGAATAGGGTTCTGTAGGTCTATCACTCAGTTGTCTTGGTGGATTGGTTGTTCTGGCAGTTGTCGAGAGTGACTGCTGTGACTGCAGCGGCACGGCAGGCTGCAGTCGCTGCGGAAAAGGTACCCGTTAATGTTGATGCTGTGAACAGAAGCTATGTCACTCTTGGATCGTTTAGTTGGGATCAAGACAACGATAAAATCAAGGTAGGTCCGTCTTTTGTTGTTTCAATTCAGCAAACTCGACCTTTATTTTTTTTTTTGATTCGGTTTATTTCTTCCTTCCTCACATATTATTCTAATTTGGTTTAATTTTGTTATTGCTGATCACACTGATAATTTGATTTCTGTTTTGCGTGTGCTTTCCTGCACGTAGATTGAGGATTCACAATGCGTACATTGTATTTGATATTTTTACTCATCGAATTACCCTACAGACTGTTTGATGTTTGTCATGGTGTGTTCGGTGTATTCAGAAATTGTGAATCAAATAGATCCATTTCATACCATCGTAAGATGATGTATTATGGAGAATGGGGTGAGTTGAAAGTTTGAAGTAATTTTGAAATTGGATGGATTTTCAACCATGAACTCTGGGTGATTATCTGTACCCTATGTCCATGTGAAAGCTTTCTACCTTGGTAGGACGACTGACATGGTGTGACATCCACTTCAAAAGCATATGACATCATTCAAAATGCAGTACATGTGGTTCATGACGTGCTTAGCATGGGCCTTGCTCACTGTTGTTGTCTAAATTAGATTGTCTTTGATAATTGACATAAAAGATTTATTGGTTATAAAGAGCTTTCATAATCACAGACATAGGAAGATGAAAGTATGAAACTCTTCTTCTAAAATCTAAGTTTGTAGGATGATTGACATTGGATGCTTAAAAATACGAGCAACTTTGTCCAGGAGTCTGATAAGATGAACCATGAAAAATGTGATTGTGCATTCTCATTATTCCCTATCCTTACCTCATGAATTTCAGGCAAGCCATGTAGCAGAACTAAAATTGTGAAGGCCCCAGCCCTACGAGAGCTTTCATGAGGGCAGTTTGCACCTGATGTCAGCCTCTTATGTAGATAGATTTCTTAATACATCCAGTACAGATTTGAATAGAAAAGGATTGTTGAAGGTTGTAAGAATTGAAGGAAAAAAAAAACTGTAAACCTGAATGGTTGTGCCTGCATTAATGGAAACTTTTGACATCTGTAAACTTCAAGGTCAAGATTATCGTGATGCAGATAACAGCTATTAGCTTTCATAGAAAATAACCGCCTGTAACATCTCCTGCAAACACGTTTTTTGTTTGATTCCATGTGTTGTGGGTGATGATTATTTTTGTATTAGAAGATGGTATACTTTAGTGTTTGGTCTGATGAGTTCTAGAGCTAATGTCAAAAAGGTTTAGGGACTTGGTCAACACATTGAGACCTTGTTTTTCTTCTTATTATGATTTTAGATTATTTAATTTACTAGCTGCTGCTATTGATGCTGTGGAAACACCTCTCTTGTTGTAAGGGTATGATTGTATAAACCTCATACCTCATGTTGGTAGGAGGCTCGGACATTATGCTTCCCATTTATTTTTTTTATCCTGTTATTGGTGTTCCGAATTTCGATGACAGAACTTTCTACATGTTAGCATGCAAGTCGGATGTCAGCCTCTTATGTAGATTGATTTCTTAGTACATCAAGTACAGATTTGAATACAAAAGGATTGTTGAAGGTTGTAAGAAGTAAAGAAAAAGAAACTGTAAACCTGAATGGTTGTGCCTGCATTAATGGAAACTTTTGGCATCTGTAAACTTCAAGGTCAAGATTATTGTGATACTGATAACAGCTAATTAGCTTTCATAGGAAATAACCGCCTATAATATCTCCTGCAAAAAAAGTTTTTTGTTTGATTCCATGTGTTGTGGGTGATAATTATTTGTGTAATAGCAGATGGTATACTCCAGTGTTTGGTCTGATGAGTTCTAGAGCTAAGGTAAAAAAGGTATAGGGACTTGGTCAACACATTGAGACCTTGTTTTTCTTCTTATTATGATTTTGGATTATTTAATTTACTAGCAGCTGCTATTGGTGTTGTGTAAACACCTCTCTGCTTGTAAGGGTATGATTATATAAACCTCATACCTCATGTTGGTAGGAGGCTCGGACATTATGCTTCCCTTATATTGTTTAATCTTGTTATTAGTGTCCCGAATTTCGACGACAGAACTTTCTACATGTTAGCATGCAAACTGGATTACATTGACCACTGACTTATTTTCCCATCTTTCATTTCACTTCATATTCCTATTTTCGAGTCTAATTCTTTGTTTGACTACTCTAAATGTGCGAAGATTTATACTTTTGCTTCAGATTTATATATCTATTGAAGATGCAGAGCAAGAGAAGGTGGATACAGTTTTTAAGCCAATGTCTGTTGACATCAAATTCCATGACATCCATGGCAAGAATTATCGATTTGCCATTCCAAAATTGAACAAGGAGATATTGCCTGAGAAGTGTAAGCTAGTGGTCAAGCCCAATAAAGTCATAGTTACACTTGTTAAAGCTTCCAAGGGAAACTGGTTAGACCTGCACCTTAAGGAAGACAAGGTACTCAATTCTGATAATTTATTAGATATTCGCATGATAAACTTAATTCATTTTGTTTTATTTTACCGGGGGAAAATAAGCATTCATTTATAAGATATTGTCATTTGAACTTCCCATTACATGCATTACTACATTTATTTGCCATGAGTCATCTAGCATGCATGAAATAGTCATCATGCATTTTCTTGTTTTGTAACTTGCAGTGTAATAACCTTTTTCAAGGTGAGTGTTGAATCATTACTCTTTATGGATGTTTCTTTTAGTCAGCAAAATGTATTTTTAAGTCCGTTGTTAAGATTTAGGAACAGATACAGAGTTGTTTAAGTCTGTTTTAAGATTTAGGAGCTCTAGCGCCTAATTTGATTGGATCTGAGATTTATGGCCTATTTTCTGGAATATGGTTGCAAAAATTATGCCATTAGTCACCTCTGTTTGCAAAAATTATGCCATTAGATCTCCTCTCGCTTCTCTTTTTACACTGTTGGTCTTCTCACTTTGCAACCAAAATTTCTGAACGAAATAGGAGGTCAGCTTGCATCAGGCAGACTGAATGTTTGTTCTCGAGGACATATATTTCCATGGCAGCCTTGCTCGGTTTAACCAGTTTTATATGTGTGCCATAGGTCTCTATAAAGCGTCTAGCTAGGTGCCTAACTTACACAAATAAGATGATTGACTTCTTTATGCATGTAGGTTTATGTGCTTGCATATGGGCAATTTGTGTTTTCCCTTGGGTGTTTGTGGGAAATTCACTTAGGTGCATAGCCACCTCCACAAGTTTATGGTGTTGGTCTGTATTGGTTACTGTGCTTATTGAACTGTTTATGTTTTCTCCTTGGAACATCACATGCTTATAAAAAAGAAAGTGAAATTCATGACAACATTTCTGGTTAAATTCTAAGAAAACAATGTAGCTCCTGTTCAGAACGCTATTTTACTATGTTTTTCACATTAATCCTGCACCTCACCATTATCTTTTCTTTTGTGTTTGTGGATGTTGCTGACAATGCAATCTTAATAGCATCAGAATTTTCTTTCTAAAGTGACCTTGGGACTTGACATAGGAATTCGAGCACTGATCTTCTTTTCCTTTTAATTTTTTTTTGTTCCCTAACAATGATATTTTCCTAGTCAAACAAAAGTCATTTTCAAGGCCGGCCTCTAAACCTTCTGATATACCTATTACAAACTCGTCTGGGCTAAATTTACTTGATGATTTGCAGCTAAAGCCGAACCTGGACAAAGAAAAAGACCCAATGGCAGGAATCATGGATTTGATGAAGGTGAGTTCTTCATTCTCTTTGGTCAAGTTTAGTTGTGTAGGTTTGCATTTTAATTTTGTTACTTTGGTCTCTTTGCAGAACATGTACGAGGAAGGTGATGATGAGATGAAACGAACAATAGCCAAAGCTTGGTCTGATGCAAGATCTGGGAAAACAGCTGACCCACTGAAAAGTTACCCATGAAAAAGCCTGATCTCTGTAATCACTGCTGTGGTTCTTTTGAGCGTCTACTCTTATCGCCAGCATGGGCTGAACTGTTCTTGAACTTTGCCGTGGTTATCCTTGCGACTGTCGCACCTTAGTTGGCCTTGCATGTGTTTATATTTGCAGTATTCCATGCTCCTTCCACGTTCGATGCCTGGGAGCTATAACTTGTTGGTAATTAAAGTGTTTTCTGTGCTTCCTGAGTGAGAGAGTATCTTTTATTTCTGATTGAACTGTGGATTCTCAAGTTCCAACGTTAAGAGACGAGTCTTCTGCGGATCCATTTCCAACCATATCAAAATTGCACGGTGCTTTAATAGCTCCATTGCACCAATCGAATCACGATCTACATTTCCATCAGCCTGCATTAATCTGTCTACGGACAATGAGGTCAATGTTCTTTTCTTATGTTTTTTTCTTGGCGAGAAATCAATTCTAAGCCTTTTATTATGTATGATTCGGAAGCAATCTACTGTGCCTCATTATACTAAAAATTCTTTTTGGAAAATCAAACTAAAAAAGGAAAAGAATCCAGAGAATCTAAACTTTTTCCGCCTTTGGAGTGCGATACTTGTGTCAAACATTCAGTCCCGAGCAACGATGGGAACGACGACGACGAAGTCAAACCTCAAGACCAGTCAAAACCCTGAGGGGTTCCAATCACAAGCCTCGTCCTCGCACTCAGTACGATTTCAAAAAACTGCAAAAGTTTTGGGAGGAACAGATGGCATTCAGCTATCTATCCCAACTCGCGCGCGCCCACTGACTTCGCTGTCTTTGACTCTCCGCAGCCACGAAGCAAGCTGGCGAAGAAGATATGGCAGTGTGTGTGTATGTGATGTCTCGGTCGTCGTTTCCTGCCGCACCGTGGCTGTCGCCATCACAGGCAGAACGGTCGACATGGGCGTGACACCGAGTTACATTCTTCCCTCGGGAAGTTTGCTGCGCCGTGGCGGTCGCTTTCGGAGACAGAAACGTGAGCATGGGTGTCGGATTGAGCTCATTGGTTCTTCCCTTGGAAGGTTGAGGGCAGCACAAGAAAGCTTCCTGCTCTCTTTGTTCTGGAGAAGTCAAAAAGGTTTGCGTCGTGGGGGAGCTTGCTGTGTCTTCCGTCCATAATGATCTCAAGAGCTTTCAATTGCATTCCGAGGTTGACACATGCGTTTGGGTTCAGTAGCCTCTCTTAGCTCAACACCAAACGTCATGAAAAGGAGGTACTTCGGCATGACAAGCTACTTTGTCTCCAATAATTGTCACCTGTCGGCGCCAAGTTATTTAATTTGGCTTCTCTACCGTTAGCATAACGAGCCATATGGTCATTATTTTGGGTTAAACATGATTTCATGCACGCAATCCAATTAATGTTTATTGGACATACTACATGTCCGATGAATACTTTGTTAGATATGCCACATCAACAGAATATCTAAAGAACATATACGCTAATTACAAAAAAAGAAAGATGTGTAGAAAATAGTTTACTTTATTATGTTTTCATTCATAACTCACAAAACAATTGTGGACTTTTTATGCTCGTATGCTAATTTGGTCGTCCAACATGTTTTATTGGACACGCTCTTGACATAAAATTTGGCATGAAGCAACATTCGGGATACAGGATATATGCCCCTTTAAGAAATTTTTTTTATATCTTAAATTCATCATATTTGGTAAGGATAAATCTCGACACCCTCCAGCTTCCCGTGCCACATAGACAACATCTAAACGAAAATGTGGAACCACCTACTCCCTACAAATGTCAACAGAAGGTCATATCGTCAGCCTTGACTTCCTGAAGTGAGCTCACAGGACCCACTCCTCAATGATCTCACAGCTAGGAAAATAAACTTGACTCCGCATTAATAATCGATGTCATGGCTCGGCTTTATCAGCCTTCTCTTCCAAACGAACGACGAGGGGACCATACCTTATCTAACCCAAAGAAGCAAGAAAGCCTGACCGAAGGTGTCATGCTGATAGTCCCCAGATGTTGCTCCTAGGAGCACATGTCGACAAGCCACTCACATTAAATGTTTTTGCTATATAGGGTAATAGGGGTCTTGATGGAGGCCTATCTACTCCACCCAATGCCTAGGTATAAAAGCCATGCTCCGGGCCAAGCCGAGGTGAGCAGACAAAAGAGACTCTTTACTCACTTGATTATATTATTAATACTATTGTCTTTCTACTTCTCTGTTTTTCTGACTTAAGCATCAGAGGGGTCGAGCCAGGACACTCCTAGTGTAGGATTGTTATGCAGGGTCATCGATGTAGCCCGGAGGCATAGCTAGAAGACTACTCAATAGAGGGGATCACCCAACTCCCGAACTTAACTTCATCACTCCTAGCGAACCACCTCTCACAATAACTTTCTTCGTCCTATCCATAACATTTTCTTCGTCCTATTCACAACATTTGCTCTCCACATCAATCGGAAAGAGGAAATAGAAGAAACTTGTACTTTTGATAGAAAACCAATCGGGTTGACTCACCAGTAGATGGTTGTATTAACAATACTTAATAATATTAAAAAATAAATTAGATCGAAATAATTTTGACAATCTAACTGATGATCGAATTTGGCCATATAAATAAGTCTATCTATCTAAAGCCTGACCACTACCCACATGTAGTTTGTAGTTTGTAGCATCCACTTCCACCTCAATGCGAAAGAGGATTACAAGATTATAATACATAATAATAACTTTCCTCACGTTAGTTAGAATAGGAAAATCTAACATATTCGTATTCATACTGATAAGGGGGAGAACTCACCCCCAATTGCAGCTCACTATGTCACTGTCAACTCAGATGACATGATGGGGCTCGGATGATATAGCGATTACCCAATGGTAACAATTTACCTAAAAGAAAATATTATATGATATTCCCTTCTGCTACAAAGGCTCACTAATTTACTGTTACCAATAGCTCTACTGTTACCAATAACCTGTAATAAGACCAATGTAAGTGGCCCACTTACATTGGTCTTATTACAGGTTAGCCCGTTAGCAAACACCGAAGCACTTTCTTAATCCTTTTTTAGACTTGCATCGAGTCGGGTTGACTGAAAAGTCATCGATAATCACTCCATCATTTTGACACTAGAAAAAGAGCCACATGTTGCAAGAGCACTATATCACATACATTCTTAATGAGCACTTCAGTGCGAGTGTTTCGCTACCGACCATAACACATTCACAATATATATATATATATATATATATATATATATATATAATATTTTAATAATAATAATCAAAAGAGATTATATAGTATATCGCACGTGTAATCACCCACGTAATTAGTTTATAGGGCATCTATAACTAGTATTTATCAAGTCATTAAGGTGATTTGAGATAGAACCTATCATCTCAGAATGATGAAAATTATAGGGAAATCTAGGGGCGACATCATAAGCGTAGTGGAAGAATAGAAAATAAAAACCCCAATTTTTTCAAAAAGGTGTTCATTGTCGTGCAAAGATTGGTGCACAAAAACTCATGAGACCTAAATCCACGTGTGAGATAGTTGTGTTTTATGTAGGGAGATCTTATATCCAAATCTCTAGCGGTGATCTATATAGCAAGGCTGTGACGATGCTCCTCAAATCACTATCCAAATCTCCACACCTACTATCTGAAGAGGAGAACAAGAGAGGAGAATAGGATGTGGTAACTAAGAAGTCTCTAGCCTTATAAGTTTTTGGTTCCCTCCTATTTATAGAGGTCCCTTGTCTACTTAACCCTCCTATTGGGTATTTGATCTTCATCTAACTACCCAAGTCTCTTAGATTAGTGGATCTCTATCCAATAATCTCTTATTAGCTATTATTGGATCTCGTCCATAGGATCCAATAATTCATGGGCTTATTAGATATCCAATAAGACATTGGCTCCGATGAATATCTTATATTCGAACCTCTACTTGTTGCAACACCTACCATATGCGTGTGACCCTTTAAGCTTAATATCGAGCTAGCCGTGAGTCATACCTATCAGAACTCCTTTTGAGCCATCGACTATGAACATACTAGGCTACTACGCCACAGCCCCTAAATAATACAGGGGAAATCCAATCCTTTGGACATATTTATCCTCAGTTACTATGTATCTATAGTCTCTCATCCATCTCATATTCCAGAGATCATATACTGGGTAAACTCATATGGTTTCTACTTGAGTCTCACTCTAATTGGATTATCCGAAGAACTCTTTCTCTCTCAATCCGAATGACCCTAGTTAGGGATTTGTCTGAGCAAGAATACATGAGATATTCCTCTCATGATACCGAGAGTAAATGATCCTTTATCGATACTCAATAGTCCTCGTAAAGTTGACTACCACTCTCGATGACCAGCTATCCTAGATATAAAATTTTCAAACCCATAAGTTTGATATCAAATAGTAAAGTACTCATACAGAACATCCTTGGTGTCTAAGTCTAAAGACTAATTGAGGAGTACAATCACTCGTACTATCACTCATACTATTACAATCTCAATACTATTGACTCAGGAGTCGGCATAGTCTCGTCCGTCCTGAAGACGCAAGCTCATCCTAGAAGCCCTCCTAGCACTCCCAGATGTTGATGGGGTGGGGCAAATCGACTAGCACGATCCTAAGGTGCTACTTGTTCGCTCGAGGTGGTTGGAGCTTCCTTAGGATTCTAGAGTTGAACCAAGGTGTGCCTTGGCTTCACTGAGATTCTTTCATAAGAGGTCAGTATCGAGAGAGTTCTTGACTCGACCCCTCCGTTGGTAAAGTCAGTAGCGGGAATTAGAATAGTATTAATTTTTTCTCATCCCTCTTTTAGGTTTCGAGGGTCAGCTTTTATACCTGGACGGTCAATGGCAAGAGACTGATGGCTCCTATTAAGTGGCTCCTACCTTAATTTGTGGTCCTTCAAGGGCTCATTTATATCGATGGATGGTTGGTTCCTTTCCTTGTCAATGGCGAGAGACTGATGGCTTCCTACGGTCGGACATACGACCTTTCCCGAAATCGTGGTTGACTAGGGTGAAAGATCACTTTCTCGCTGCTGGGCCGCACGGCAGGGGAGGTGCGTGAGCTCTTCTGCCCTAATTACTGTTGTGGTGAAAGTGAATCCCTGAGTGAGTCAGCCACCGTTCATGTCTCTTTATTCCCTATCATATACTTGCGTGGGACGGGGACTAAGTTTTCGTCCCTGAAAACCACCACCATGCCATTTGCCATGTTCCAACGTGTTGCACGCATGAGTTGTGGTACGTCGGACACTGCAACAACGCGTGCAGACCATGGTACGTGCCACACTATATAGTGAGAATGCAGGAGATGTGATGAAGTTTTAGGTAGTGGTTCCATGTCCCTCCCTGTGCATGCTCATGGTAAAAATACGAGGAACACTGCATGCAACTCCAACCGTGCATGTTGCCACATACCTTCTTTTACATCTGAGTTAATTATGTGGAAGCAAGTGCTACATGCACCGATGCCTTGCCAAAGTCTGGACTACTATATATGTAACAAATTGTATTAATGAAGCCATAGTCACTGTAATTCTTGTTGCAGAAATAGCTACTAGTCTGCAAATTGCCAGGACTAATTGGCCATGGAGAGAAAGAAAACAAAATTGCCATGTAGATCTGAGCAAATAATTAGTTCATTTATATATATATTTCCCATATGATTTTGATCTTATCCAATTCGATGAAGCACTCGGCAATCATTGCATCTCCCAACTCAATTATGTTTTGGAATGTCAACTTGCTGTCTAACTATTATATCGAAAATAATCGACCATGAAAACGATGGACGACCAGTCATGCTGCAATTGGATCAAATATTAGGCTCTTTTTCGAAGCTGCAAGTGGATTGAAATGAACGAACCCTAACGGGTTGAAATGTTCATCTAGTTATAAAAAAGATATTGCTCGAATAATGATCAAGTTATTAGATCATTTGCAAGTAATCTACAAGTCTAATCACATCATAATAGTTATCTATTTCTTCCTGTGTCATGTCCGTTATTATTCATATCATTCGTGGGATGTGCATTTTGTCCACAGATCCTTCATCATCTCCAGGATTATGGCAGGTGGAGACAAATGTTCGACGCAATATGATCAGAGTCATGCATGCACAGTAGCTTCTTCTTCCTTCTTCGCAATGAGTCCAATACTCTTTCGAGTGTCATAAAGCAAGGTGGTATTGGAAGAGGATGGATGGAGCTTTGTAGCCTAACCATCAATATGGCAAGTTAAGAGGGTTTCAATCAGTACTTGCATGTGCCAGGGGTCTACACTGTGTTGACTCCATTGACAAACAAATAGACCACCACAACTTGATGTAGTAGCCAATGGTCTAAAGGAGGTCCTCATCTGAGTTCTTCATGAAGATCCAAAACTTCGACACACACATAAATGTCTTGTTATCCATCTTTGAACCCTAACCACCACCATATTTATTGATCTGTCTGGTGTAAGCATGGCCAGTTGCTCCCAGCCAGCTTGCTGCTGCAACTCGTCCCCCGGAGGAGAAACCATGCCTTCTTCCTGTACGACTATAGATAGGCTGCTTCATGGCACGACAACCAGCTTTTATGACACTAATTTGACTGGCCTGATAAACAGAGAGATGTATATATATATATATATATATATATATATATATATATATATATATATATATATATATATATATATATATATATATATATATATATATA